ATGTTATGTGGCAAGGAATCATGTCGGAAAAATATCAATTTTTCTAAATTCTATTTATATTCGTGTTACTATGTATTATGTCAAGTGGTATACCGTATATTCTAACTAATCAATAGTTATATCTACAAAAGTGACTACGCGCATCATTATATCCATTTACAGGTTAGTGAGCTCATCTTGTTTACATTTTAATATGGATTGTTCTCACCAGAATTATGACATAAACAAGTGAGAGTAGTACCTTTGTAAATAAATCAAGTGCAATATCCATTTACCTGTAGCATTGTCTGTCATGCAGCTCGGATCTTCATCTGTGAACTGGGAACATTCGAGTTCCTCTGGCCACTTAATGTTCAATAATGTTAACAATTGTTGGCATTCGTACATCGTTTGTTGACACAGGCTACGACAAGGTTTAGCAATTCCGTCTGCTTTGCACATTGGAGTATACACAGAACATAGAAATGGTAGCATTGTAGGTGAACAACCCACCAGAATCACATTGTCAATTATGGCCGTCAATGCATCAAATTGTGACGTGTGTCCAAGTACATTTGGCAAACGTGTTTGACTGTAAGACATATTTAGGCACATAGGTAAAATGATGTCTTCGCAACTACCATCAGGATTCTGGACTTCGGTTGAAAAACCACCATCATAGCAGTTTTCATTTGAGAGAGAGGAGCAGTTTAGCGGTCCTGGCCAACCAAATCCAAACGTTTCCAGAGTTGGCAAACAACCATCTCTTGCCACTTCGCAGAGTGATCGACATGGCATCTGTGATGAACTTGCAGAGCAACTTGGAGCATAAGCAGCACAAAGAAACAGCTTCAGTGCTGGTGAGCACTGCGTTTGCAAAAGAGGAGTAAAGGTTTGTAGTGTCATTTGGGCATCTTGTTGAAGGTTCTGCCCCAACATATTGGGCATCATCGTAGATGTATAACCTAGATCTTGACAGAGTGGAATCGTCAGAGGTTCGCACTGGGATTCTACTGGTGCTGCAAGTTTAAATTAAAAAGAAAAAAAATAACAACCACATTAGCAGAAAAGCTCAGTCATAACAAATTGAATTAACGTGATCAGATGATATTAATCATCTTCAATGTTTTAGACCAGCAATGTTAGAGTGTTTGGGACCAATGATTTATGGATTTGAGTGTCTGTGCTGGTTCCACTCTGCCTGACATGGCAATCAATTTAAATTTTGTTTCTGAATCATATAATTACAGGCAGAGAAATTTAAAAAGAAAGAAAGAACACTTCCTTCTCGTCTTAACAGAAAAGCTTTTATATGGATTAATTAGACCATGGACCTATAGCAATAAGGTCTAATAGGTTTATGATTAGACCACTAAGCAAACTTCTTTAAATTATGAAGTGTGCTTAAATGGACCTTTCCACTAAGCCAAGCATATTGGATACTGTTGCTAAACGTGTGATCTTAAACAGCGTAAAGCCCCATTTACACTAGACACGATTACGACACGACATTATCATCGCGTAGTTTGTATTCTTCAACATTGCGCGCATCTGTATCGTGTCTTGGCTTTAATGTATATAAAATTGTTCGTGGAACATGCATGCGCGTGTTCGTGGATATTAAATAACCCATCCTAAATTTGATTGGTTTGATTTGATTGACATTTGATAATATCCATTGGACGGATCCAGATTTTAAAATACGAGACGCAGTAAAAGGGCGTGTTGTTGCCACAGTTTTGGAATCAAACTTCACAAGTGAACAACAGAACAGGGCCAGGAATACGCATTTGTCCCACAAACACATGTGTTTGATTCCTCCATGCAATATCCAAGGGCCGAAGAAAGGTCCTTTGGGTAAGACATTTTAAGGCCTTGGCAGCACATTTACACACTGCACCGTCTTCTTGAGTATCAATGCTTACCTGTTGATGGCTGTACAGAAGTATTGGTGCTAGAAAATCCACCGTCGAAGCAAGTGTCATTCGGCAATTTTGAGCATATTAAATGCTCTGGCCATTCATATCCAAAACTTCTCATTATTTGTACGCAGCCATCTTTAGCAGCC